GCATTTTTTAGACGCTTTGGTCTTAGGGATAAGGTTTTCAATTAATATTTTAATAATTTATTTATTTAATATCAATAACTAATATATTTAAATGTAAATAAGAGATCGCAAAATTACCTGATAATGAGAGAGAGAGAGAGAGAGAGGGAAAGAGAGAGTCGGTATGCTTTTAGTATTTCATTAAACTAGCATTAGACTTATAATCGAAGGTTATTAATAAATTATCATTTTTATGATTTTAGTCAATACTACAACATTAGGCAATATTTAGGTTTAGAAACAAAGACTTAATTAACGAGGTATACATACTGTACACAGTATAATGTATATCGGGTGTTTATCTATGGGGGACAAAAGTAATTCGCCTCCCATTTCAAAACCCCTCGGTCGATTTTAATGAAATAAAGTTTACTTTATAAAGCAAATGTGGGAAAATTATTTTGTAAAGTTATACGGTAAAAATAACGTAGTATGGCCAGGTTTTTAACATGATTTTAAAGGAATGCGTTTTCCAAAGTTTTAAAGTTATAAACTTCTAAGTTAACAAATTGTAGTGTTGTTTATGACTGGACAATGTTTAATGTTAATCATTTACTAAATTGTCAAGTAGTGGTTGACAGGGGTGATGTAAAAGCCCAAGTATTTCACTTCAATTCACAGACAATCGCTGAACTCAAAAATTCAATTTTGGATTTCATTAAAGCATAGCAATCAATAGGATTCAACGTGCAATTGATAATTACCCGAAACGGCTTCACCATATGGTCACCAAGGGTGGTGGCCATTTGGAATCTATTATACATTAATTTCCCATATTTCATCTTTAAAATAAACTTTATTTCATTAAAATCGCCCGAGGGGTTTTGAAATGGGAGGCGAATTACTTTTGTCCCCCATAGAAAAACACTCTGTACTTTATATTCTAAAACTAACATGACTAGTTTTTCTAATTATAACTTTCATGCACACATTGCAATTGATTCTCTTTGATTATACTGTATTAATGATTATTAAAAATAGATAATTTTTGATAGCAATTTTTAAATATAATAAAACTCACAGTTATTTACAAAAATTTATTTAATTATAAAAATTACATATCAAAAATTTCCTTGATAAGAGGACCCATATATTGCTTATAATTCTTATAATTGGGAATTCCAAACTTTATTTCCAACTCATTTAATATATTTAAGTCTTTCAATGAAAGCATCAGTGTTTGAAGTTTTACTCTCGATTCGGAATCCGACCGGTATTTCCATAATAAATATCTTTGCAGTAAATATATATACAGTTGTTGTTCGAGTCTTACAAAAATAATAAATTTATAAATCACTGTTTTTATATAATAAATAGTGAATTTAAATAACAACTTACTTAACATTGTGTTTATGCATTAGATTCGGTCGATTCGGGTTATAGAATATTATTGCTGTTAACTATAAGTTTAAATAAATATAACCAGAATGTAATTTTATAAATAATATGTAAATTTTAACAATATCCTTTACCAGGTCAATTGCTGTAGGGTCGTCATAATTCCACTCATCGAGACATCTGTTCATTAGTGGTCTAACCATTTCAAGATATGTACCATCATCAAAATTAAATACACTTGATTTAACTTCAATAGTGTTATTATCATCCTGTAATTATAACAGTTTTAAAAATCATACTTGCTATATAATATTTAGTGTGGGCACTTACCACAGGTATATACATACTGTCTGTTAGAATATTGTAATACTTTAAGTATCGGATTGACAGCAACTCATTATAGCCGCACTTCAATAACGCTAACCTATCCTCAGAGCATATAGTATTGAATCCGGACAGAGATTTAGTAAAATTGACCATGTCCATTACTGAACACTCTTGCTTATGGCTAGATGCTTTTAGCATATCTTGTAAAGTGTTTACTTTTATTATATTATTAGGCATTTTATAATTGAATACAACGGCAGCGCTCGTCAACTCCGATATCCTATTGCTTTCCAATTCATTCAAACCGTTATAATCCGTGATTTCCCTAAACATGGGAACAATTGCTGTGTTTTCGCATTTCTGTTTCACTTGTTTTATAACTTCATGTATTTCTATGTTTGAAATACTTTTTCCAATTTCTATCATTTCATCGCAAATCTCATTCATATTGATGTCAATTGTATTGTCGAGCAATTCATCCAAAATGTCTTTCTCTTTGTTTTCATCGAAAATAATTAAATCATTTGAAGAATCGGTAAAAGAATAGACCGAAGAGACGGAAGAATCGGTCAAATCATTACATTTTTCACGTTTTAACTTATTTTCGCGAATAATTTCCTTTCGTTTTTCATTTTCCTCATCACTTCTGATAAATTCCTATTGAAAATACAATTTTAAAAATAATGTAAATAATAGTTTAATTATTATTAATTATAATAAATATTATAATTTATAAATACTTTTTTCATTCCGACCGCAAAACACTTCTCGAGTCGACATCTTTGGCATATTTTTCTCGTCATTTGATTTATATTGCATTTACCATTTGAGGGACAATTCAATGGCTTTAAACAAAGTTATCATAAAATTAATTTAATTAAATAAATAAATTGAAATATTTATTAAAAACCTTATTCTTAAGACCAAAGCGCCTAAAGAAAGCTTTACACGACTCACACGTTATTACACCAAAATTCCTGCCTTAAAATATAAATTTTTGAAATATTTAATTAACAAATTATTGATTACCATTTCCTTTATCGCCGCAAACTTCACAGATTTTATGTAATTTCTTATCACACAATTTACTATTCATTGTTATTAATAAATAATTATTAATTAAATTACAATTATGTTTAAAAATTGTCAAATAATAACAATTTGTTGTTCACTACAAACTTTATATATAACAGAACTGTAGAGATAGTGTGATAAGTATTACAAAGTCCCATAAAAGCACATTCATTGCCAATTTGTTAAATTATTAAATAAGATTGGTCATACATTATGTTATACATAATATAGGTACTATAATTTCGCTCTTCATTTAAATTAAGGCGATATTTGTTGAATACTTTATGTCACAATTTTATATTACTATTACGTTAAGTGTTATAATTTATTTTTGATTATTGCCAATATAAATGTACACGAGCCCAAGTTGATCACGTGAATATAACTAACATCATTATTTAAATATTGTATTTTGTAAATAGACATTTAATAAATATCATTTTAAACCACACATTTGAACATGTATGTTTAATATAAATACAAATACAGTGTTACAACTTGCAAATGTGATTTCACCTGTCATTGTCTGTTCAAAACAAATATTTCATTCATTTAGTAATTCTTACATTATTCAAACTTATAGTGAACAATCACTTATTGTAAATAAGTTATTATTTATCCTTAAAATAGCTTCAGGCTTACGATTCAAGGCTTTTGATAATTACTATGTTTAGAAATCTCATTCAATACTAAACATTAGGCAATATTTAGTTTTATTGAGAAAGACTTTAAGGTGTAGACCAACTGTTGTTAATTAATGTTAAAAAATAAAAACTAGACAAAAGCTACAAATATATTAATTTATTAATATAGATATTACATTATATAAATATAAAAATTTTAATGTAAAATTTATTTAAAATAAATTTCTATGCATTTACATAAACATTAAATACAATGCAATTTAAAAATCATAAATCTCTTTCAGAAGTGGTCCGAAATAATGCTTATAATTACTATACTCTGGGATCCAAACATTTAACTCTAACTCATTTAATAAATTAAAATCTTTTAATGAAAGCATCAGTTTTTGAAGTTTTAGTCTCGACTCGGAATCGGACCGGTATTTCCATAATAGATATTTTTGCAGTAAATAAATATACAGTTGTTGTTCGAGTCTAACAAACATAAAATGACAAATATAAATGTAAATATTAATATTATTTATAAATCATTGTTTTGATCATAAACAATTTATAACACAACTTACTTAACACTATGTTTATGCAATAGATTTGGTCGATTCGGGTTATAATATAATATTGCAGTTAACTATGGAGTTATTTAAAAAAAGTAAATTAATATATTTCATTAAGCTAAATAACTACATTAAACAAGTGTAGTAAAACTTTGAAAATATAACTTACCAGGTTAATTGCTATGGAATCGCCATAATCCCATTCATTTAATAATAATTGCACTGTATTAACCAAATAATCATAACTAACGCAACTAGATTGAAATACACGCAAATTAAACTCAAAAGTATTTGCCTCGTCCTGTATTACCATAATTAAAAACATTATTTACAAACACTTTACAATACTTTTACAAAATTAAATATTAAATTATAACATTGTTTTGCTTACTAAAGGGACGTAGAAATTAGCACTACTTTTATTGTAATATTTTAGTGTCCGGATTGACAGCAACTGATTGTAGCCGTACTTCATTAGCGCCACCCTATCCTCAGAGCATATCCTATTGAATCCGGACAGAGATTTAATAAATTGAATTATGTCCTGCACTGAGCCCTCTTGTCTCGGGCCACAGCCTCTTAGCATTTCCTCCAAATTATTTAATTTTATTATATTATTAGACATTTTGTAGTCAAACACAACGGCAGCGCTCGACAGCTCCGACAACCGGTTGTTTTCCAATTCATTCAAACCGTTATAATCCGTGATTTCCCTAAACATGGGAACAATTGCCGTGTTTTCGCATTTTTGTTTAACTCTTATGGTCGACATTAAATTGTTTGTAATATTTTGTTCAATATTTTTGATCTCATCGTTAATCTCATCCATATTTATGTCAATTGTATTGTCGAGTATTTCATCCAAAATATCTTTCTCTTTGTTTTCATCGAAAATAATTAAATCATTTGAAGAATCGGTAAAAGAATAGACCGAAGAAATTGAAGAATCGCTCGATTTATCACATTTTTGTTGTAATTTATTTTTTCTAATAATTTTCTTTCTCTTCTCGTTTTCCTCAACACTTTTGATAATTTCCTATTAAAACACAATATTTATTATTATTTCTTATAAATTATAACAAAATTTATAAATACTTTTCTCATTCCGACGGCAAAGCACTTCTCGAGTCGACATTTTTGGCATAATTTTCTCGTCTCTGGATTTATAATGCAATTACCATTTGATGGACAAATCAGTGGCTGTTATAATGTGGTTATAATTAATTAAAACAATTAATTTAATTTAATTAGTACCTTATTCCTGGGACCAAAGCGTCTAAAAAATGCTTTGCATGATTCACACGTTATTACAGCAAAATTTCTGCCTTAAATTATAAATTATAATACAGTTTAAAATTACTAAAAGTGTTTTTAATTATTATAAAAATTAAATGTTAAACAATTTAATACCAATTCCTTTATCGCCGCAAACTTCACATATTTTATACCATTTCTTATCACTTAATTTAATATCCATTACTTTAATTGTCTTTTAAATGTATAATTTATTTAACAATTATAATTAATAATAATAATTAATTTATTAAAATGAACAATAATTTGTTGAAATAACTATGTAACTTTATAATTGGAATTAGATTATCATGATGCCATATTAAAATTATATTTCACACATTACTTTAATTACCAACACTGTTTATTTCCGACATTAATGTTTAACACATGTTATTTTTAATTATCACAATTATTGTAATTGAAAACATGTTACAATTCAACTAATTTAATTATTACTAATAAACATTGGTTTATCATGTTACTGTAATATGAAACTGTAATATTTATATTTGGGTTATTAGGCAAGTTGTGTATAAATGTCATTCAAACCACATATTTGAACATGTACTTTTAAGTGCAAATAATGTTATGCAATATGATTTCAGATGTCACTATCTATGCAGTTAATATTATATAAGTATTTCAAGTGTTTAGGAATTCTTACATCGTCAAAACTTATAAATGCATAAACAATAAGGTAGAATATTTTCATGCTATACTTTCAAGGCTAAATTTTTCAATAACTACAATATTAATATTTTATTCAATATTTAATATAGTTTAAATACAAAAAAGTTTATCGTAATTAATTTTATTATTTTTAAGATTACATAAATTATATAAAAATATCATATAAAGGGATCTAGTTATTATATTAATGTGGCATAATTAATAAAATTTATAAATCAAAAATCTCATTCAAAAGTGGACCGACATATTGTTTATAATTCCTGTATTCAGGAATTCCCACTTTTAATTCCACTTCATTTAATATATTTAAATCTTTTAATGAAAACATTAGGTTTTGTAGTTTTATTCCAGATTCTGACCCGTATTTCAATAGTAGATATCTTTGCAGTAAATATATATACAGTTGTTGTTCGAGTCTAACAAACAATTTAATTAAAAATATTATTTAATTAATATTTATTAATTTGATTCATGACTTACTTAACACTTTGTTTATGCATTAGATTCGGTCGATTAGGGTTATAGAGTATTATTGCAGTTAACTATGATTTAGAAAAAATATATAGATTATACAAGATAAAGTTATATTACATATTACATATTATGTAACTGTATATTAAGTTAAATGATTAAAATTATCGAACCAGATCAATTGCAATACAATCATCATAATTCCAGATGGAGACCAATTTGTTTATTATGGGTCTAACTTTTTCAGCATATTTAACATGACCAAATTCCAGTACACTCAAATTTATCTGGGCAGTATTCACCTCGTCCTAGATATTTAATAAAATTCATATTAAAATGTTATTTATAGTTAAGCATATATTTTAAATAATCTATTATTTGAATAGCTTAATAATAATTAATAATTATATTAATACAGTATTTACTGATTTTATATTGTCTTACTTACTAAAGGCATGTAATAATTCTCCGTATGTTTATTGTAATACTTAAGGCTCCGGACACCTATCAATTCATTGAAACCATGTTTCATTAGCGCCACCCTATCTTCACAGCATATCCTATTAAATCCGGACAGTGACTTAATGAAATTGACCATGTCCACAGCAAAACACTCTTGCTTAGGGCTACACATTTTAACCACTTCTTCAAAACTATTTAATTGTATTATATTTTCAGATATATTATAGTTGAGTACAACGGCAGCGCTCGTCAGTTCCGATACCCTATTGTTTTCCAATTCATTCAAACCGTTATAATCCGTGATTTCCCTAAACATGGGAACAATTGCTATGTTTTTGTTGATTTGGTTTTCTAGCGATTCATCATTTATTTTAATGTCTGTAATACTGTTCTCAATGTCTGTAATTTCAGCGTTCAATTCATCTAAATTGATGTCAATTGTATTGTCGAGCAATTCATCCAAAATGTCTTTCTCTTTGTTTTCATCGAAAATAATTAAATCATTTGAAGAATCGGTAAAAGAAGAGACCGAAGAGATTGAGGTTTCGGTCAAATGAACACAATTTTCATGTTTTAATTTGTTTTCTCGGATAAGTTTCCTTCGCTTATCATTTTCCTCATCACTTCTAATAAAATCCTATTAAAAACATAATAAATATTACAATTAATTAATTATAAATATAATTATAAATACTTTTCTCATTCCGAGCGCAAAGCACTTCTCGAGTCGACATTTTTGACATGATTTTCTCGTCAATGTATTTATATTGCAATTACCATTTGAGGGACAATTCAATATCTGTTTGCATAGTTATTACTAGTTATAAATTTTCATAATAATTAAAATTATTAAAACCTTATTTCTGAGTCCAAAGCGTCTAAAAAATGCTTTGCATGATTCACACGTTATTACAGCAAAATTTCTGCCTAAATAACAAATATAATAATAATTATATATAATTAAATATTAATTTACAATTAATTAATAAACAATTTTAATACCAATTCCATTATCGCCGCAAACTTCACATATTTTATGCCAATTATTATTACTTAATTTACTATTCATTTTTGTTTTCACAATTAAATGTATAAATTAATTAAATGTAGTCATTTGTTGTTTACATTACTACATTATATACAAGGGCTGTAAATATAATTTAACAAATATTAGTTTGATAAAACATTTTCACTGCCAATTGATTTGATTATTACCATAGTGTTCTCAGACATGTTATACAAACTGTATATATCTTTTAAGAATAGATACCATAATAGTAATTAATTTACATTTATTAATAACTTGGTTACTTTTGTCACAATATAATTTTATTTATAATATTTAAATAGAAAATTATGTTCATTTAAGCACAGTTTATACAATTTACTTTATTTGTAAATATTAATTTTTATAAATATAATTTTAATCAACGTTATAACTTATAACCATGCACTTTTTAGTGCAAATAGAGAATGGCAACATCATTTCACTTGTCATTACAAAGTCAATGAAATAATGTAAATAATTTATAGCAATATTTTACTTTGTTCAAACAATTAATTGCATTATCTCAAGGCTTTCACTAATAATAATAAATTATAGGCAATCCTTTATATTCAGGTAATTCTTATCATTATTCAATATTCAGCTTTAATGAACTGGAATAATAATAAGTGCATAAATTGTTTAATACATTGTACATAAATTGTACATTAAGTGATTTTATTTTATCATATTACGTTGTAGCTATTAATTGTTTGATTATTATACCAGGTCAAAAATTTCTCTAACAATAGGACTGGTATAATCATAATCACTACTGGGAGATCCATATCTCTGTAGTTCATGAATAGTATCCAAATCTTTTAGTGAATTCATAAATATCTGTAATTTTGTCTGTGATTCCGATTCCGAGCGGTATTTCAATAGTAGATATCTTTGCAGTAAATATATATACAGTTGTTGTTCGAGTCTATAGAATAATTAAATTATGTAAAAAAATAATAAATAATATTAAAAATAAAAAAGAATTATATATATTCTATACCTAATTATGTGTCTATGTGTTAGATTCGGTCGGTTTGGATCAAAGAGTATTATTGCCGTTAACTGTATTTAATTTGTAACATAATAGTTAATTTAGTTAATACATAATAGGTATAGGTGTAATTAAATCAATTACCAAATCCAATACAATTAGATCCCATTCCCATTCGGGTAATATTGTGTCCATAAAGTGGTCAACAATTTTCTCATATATTAACAATCCAGGTTCCACCTTGGTTCTTAACAAATTAAGTTTATCAAAGTTGCAAACAACTGAATTTTCGTTATCCTATGTTTAGTATAAACCATATAAAATACATGTTTATTAATTATAATATAATGCTTACATTTTAAAAAATCTAAACATGCTATAATTAAAATAGTAAACTAGATTAAATATATTTTATAATAAAAATCATTTTCAATCTCAGTATATTTTTTACTATTCATGTTATTATTAATACTATAGAATCCATAGTGTATACTGATTAATACTAATTATAAACTATAATTGTAAATTTTTATAATGTTTACTTTAAAAGTTATAATTATATTTAATATCTAAAATATAATTACCATATTGATAACATATTCGCCTGTATGTTGATTATATAACGTGAGTTGTCTCATGTGAACAATTTGACAAATGCCGAACTTAAACAGCGAGATCTGGTCTTCAGGCATGAGATCAGCAAAACTTTTCAAACCTTTTGTAAAATTAATGCCATTTATAGTAAATCTTTCGTTGATTTTTGATAAAAACACTTTTAATTCAATTTCACTCTTTATTTCCAAATTATTTTCAGCGATCGGTTCAATGAAAACCTTTGTGGCGCCGATTACTTCCGATATACGGCTTAACTCCAGTTGTCTTAAGCCGTTATAATCGGTGAGGGGTTTGGATATCGGGATTAGTTCGGAATTATAGCCCTCTTTATTACCGATTACTATATTTGTGGCAATTTGTTGGACAATCTCATTGTCATTACTGTCATAATCTGTATATTCAATATCCGATTCACTAATACTGTCATCACTTTGTATATTGTTTTCATGTGAATTGTGTGACCCATTGTTTGTCTGTCTTTTAGTTACTTTGCAACCAATTATTTGTACATCATTTGTATCGCATTGTGATTGCTATCATATTATATAATAAGATAATAATTAATTTATTATAAGTTGTAATTATAATTAACAATTTATTGTATTTACATTGCATTTCATTCCGAGAGCAAAACATTTATCCAAACGACACTTTTTGCAGTCATTTCTGTTGTCCGCACTTATAATGCAATTGTCATTAAATACACAAATGAATGGCTATTATGTATTAAATTGTATAAACAATTAATTTAGTAAATCTTATCATGTGATTTAAAAAATTAACAAACCTTTGCTTTAAATGCATTGCGTCTAAAAAATGCTTTGCAGGGCTCACAACAAATCACACCAAAATTTCGACCTTAATCAAAGAATTTATAATTTAATTAATTAACTAAAAACTACTCACTCATAGCATTATAGCCACAAATCTCGCATATTTTCTTCACTTTATTGCCACTCATTTTTTAGTATTAACAGTGTTTTAATTTTATAAAATTAATAATTAATACAATTTAAATCCACAAAACAAAATACATAATCATTGAAATACTGTAAACAAATTAGATAATCAATGCATGATTCATAGACCTAGCTGCATAGACCTGCATATTGGTACATTTTAATTATCTTGATCACTTTCTCTTACAATAATGAAAAGTAATAAACAATATGGACAGCAATACGTATACATGGAAACAATCATATTATGGATTAAGTAATCATATAAATAAATAATGTTTCAACTTTTAAATAATTAATTTTATAGTTAACTTTTGTTCAGGCACTTGAAATGCAAACCATCTAAATGATTATATAAGATAATTAGAGTGAAATAAGTTATCTATCAATATGAATTTTACTTAATTTTGTTTTTTAAATGTAATCATAAATAATTATAATCTTATAGTTTTAAATCATTTATTTCTCTAACGAGTGGTCCGTAATATTCAATACTTTCTATCATTACGTCCATCGGTTCTGATCTCCGGATTTCACTCATTATTTCCAAGTCTTTCAATGAATTCATTAGTTTTTGTAATTTTGTTTGTGATTCTGATTCCGTCCCATATTTCCATAATAAATATCTTTGCAGTAAATATATATACAGTTTTTGCTCGAGTCTAACAAACAATTTAATATAATTCATTATTATATAAATAATTACATTATATTTTTAAAAAATTAAGTTCACAATAGTTAATAACAAACCTAACTATATGTCTATGTATAAGATTTGGTCGGTTTGGATTAAAAAGGATTATCGCCGTTAACTGTGATTAAAATAATTAATGATCACTAAAAACCAGTCTTAAGTATATGATAATAAATTATTAATAATATACCAAATTCAATATGGTTAGATCCCATTGCCATTCGGGTGATATTTTGTATAGAAAACTAATATACAAATTCATCGCAGATATATAAGAGGATGAATAAGAGGGTGAATATTCTGTGGTAATTTTTTTGGAGTCCTCAATATTAACCACAAAAATAGTATCATTGTCCTAAATATTGACACATGTTAATTTAGTATAAAAATTATAATTAATTAAAACAATGTTTGTCAATATGAATTACAATATTAATTACCACTTTAAGTATAAAACTTTGCGTACTTTCATTATAATGAGTTAAACTCCTGATGGTTAGTATATCATTGCAGCCGTATTTAAACAGCCAATACTGATCTTCGGGACACATATTACCAAAACAAGTGATACTTTTAGTAAATGTTATGGCATTTTGTATTTCATTTTCTGTCGTTTGCAGAGTTAGACGACTGAATTCAAGCAAATCGTTTGCTTGATATAAATTTTTACCAAAAGGTCTCATGAAAACAGTGGACGCAGTGATCACTTCAGAGATGCGTTGAAACTCCAGTTGTTTTAAGCCGTTATAATCGGTGAGGGGTTTGGATATCGGGACTAATGCTGTGTCTGTTGTGTTTGTTTTAAGATCAATCAATTGATATTCAACATTATTACTATCGGTATTGCAATCATTATCTATGTTATCGACAATCAATTCCCAGATATTATCTGGACTTTCATCAGAATCTGTTGGAATCCTTACAGTTGGAGATATGTTTACAGTATTTTCTATTATTGGATGTTGTCTACGCTCAACATGCATGTTAATAATTTCCTATTGTAAACAATTATATATTCATAGATTATATATTTTATTATTAAATATATTCTAATTTACCTTTCTCATCCCAACAACAAAACACTTTTTAAGTCTACATTTTTGACAGTTATTTCTTGTGTTACAATTTATAAAACAATTATCGCCTGAAATGCATAATAATTCCTACAAAATGTTTATTCAATTAATTTATTGCATAATTTTTAATATTGTTATTTAAAACCTTATGTTTAAACGCATAGCGTCTGAAAAAGGATTTACAAGACTGACAACAAATGGTACCAAAATTTCGGCCTTAAATACAATCAAAAATGTTATGAATTTATAAAAAAGTTTTAAATTGAATGCAATAATCATTTCTTACTTAAAGCATTATCGCCACAAACCTCACAGATTCTGGTCTTGACATTGGGTTTCATTTTGTGTTCAATAAAACATTTTTAATTATTATTACAAAACAAAGTAATCATTTACTTTAATTCCGGTATTAATTATTTAAGTTATCTAGTTAATCATTATGATAGTACTGTACTAAGCAAACGACCACCATGCAGTGTATTATAAATTATAATAGTTATTATGAACCAGAGTATTAAATAAATGTATTAATCTAGAATCTTGATAGTTTATCTCAAGAATGTTAAAGTGCAATGCAGCATTGAAGGTTAATTAAAAACATTGTGTTTATTGCATGGTTACTTTACAAACATACCTGTATAGTTTACGACAAACTGATATGATAAACCCAATGCACTAAATAAAAGTGGTTATTATTTTAAATCCCCAAACAATTTATTTATGATGAATTTATTATTAATAATAAATTATTATATTTAAGCTCTTATCACACTATTATGGTTATAAAATCATTAAGGTGTTTTATACCTATATTTAAATTACCATGGATATAAACAATATACAGTATTTAATAAATTTCTATAAATATTAATAGTCCTATGGTATAATCATTTCTTCATTTAATACTATTTGTTTTTAATTGTTAATTATTAACTTTTACTTTTTAATATTACTATAGTATAGTAGCATAACTATAAATATATTAGCCAATTATAAAATAAATTTAATTATAGATGTACCATTTAATCTACATTCAATCTAAAACTTTATGCAATGAGTAATGTAAACAAAATATGGTAATAATAATACATTTATCTAATAAATAAATATAAATGATAATAGTAAATAGATTTTATATAACACTTTACAATATAACAATTAGAGTGTAAGTGTGTACAGTATACTATTTTACATTTATAGTACGGTACTAGATATTTATAAAAATTATAAAGTAAATAATACTTTCCAATCTATAATAAATATTAATTTAATTGTTTAACAAATAAATAACAATTAACTTTGTAAATACATTACTTGATAATCATATATTAAACTAATAATACTAATAAATATGCAAAATATTTTATTTTTCAAAATTTACAACGAATTCAATAATATATCATATATTCAATAGTTTTACTCCAGGGTTAAGTCATATACACCTATAAGGAGAGGTCCGCATAATTCATAATGTTTTTTCATAGCACCGGTATTTGATCTCTGGATTTCATTCATCATTTCCACGTCTTTTAATGATAGCAATAATTTTTGTACTTTTGTTTGCGATTCCGATTCCGAGCGGTATTTCAATAGTAGATATCTTTGCAGTAAATATATATACAGTTGTTGTTCGAGTCTAACAGTCAGTTGTAAAGAAAATAATTCAATTTATTTTTGAATTTATGTTAAATAATATTTAAAATAACAATTAAGTTATTGTTTAACAAAGGAATTGCAATAAAACAANTGAAAACAGTGGACGCAGTGATCACTTCAGAGATGCGTTGAAACTCCAGTTGTTTTAAGCCGTTATAATCGGTGAGGGGTTTGGATATCGGGACTAATGCTGTGTCTGTTGTGTTTGTTTTAAGATCGATCAATTGATATTCAACATTATTACTATCGGTATTGCAATCATTATCTATGTTATCGACAATCAATTTCCAGATATTATCTGGACTTTCATCAAAACCTGTTGGAATCCTTACAGTTGGAGATATGTTTGCAGTATTTTCTATTATTGGATGTTGTCTACGCTCAACATGCATGTTAATAATTTCCTATTGTGAACAATTAGATATTCATAGATTGTATATTTTATTATTAAATATATTCTAATTTACCTTTTTCATCCCAACAACAAAACACTTTTTAAGTCTGCATTTTTGGCAGTTATTTCTTGTGTTACAATCTATTAGACAATTATTGCCTGAAATGCATAATAATTCCTACCAAAAATGTTTATTCAATTAATTTATTGCAACATTTTAAATCTTGTTAATATTAATATTGTTTGTCAAATATTTAAAACCTTATGTTTAAACGCATAGCGTCTGAAAAAGGATTTGCAAGACTGGCAACAAATGGCACCAAAATTTCGGCCTTAAATACAATCAAAAAATCATGAATTTATTAAAAGGTTTTAAATTGAATGCAATAATCATTTCTCACTCAAAGCATTATCGCCACAAACCTCACAGATTCTGGTCTTGATATTGGCTTTCATTATGTGTTCAAACAATAAACATTTTAAATTATTGTCACAATAAAAGTAATCATTCAGTTTAATCCTGTATTAATTATTTAAATTATCTAGTTAATAATTATGATAGTACTGTACTAATCAAACCACCAACATACAGTATATTATAAATCATAATAGTTATTATGAACCAAAGTATTAAATAAAAATATTAATCTAGTTAGTTTATCTTAAGAATGTTAAAGTGCAATACAGCATTGAAGGACAATTAAAAACATTGTGTTTATTGCATGGTTACTTTACAAATTAAACATACCTGTATATTGTTTTCTACAATCAGATATGATAAACCCAATGCACTAAATTAAAGTGGTTATTATTTTAAATCCCAAACAATTCATTTATTAATGAATTTATTAGTTATAATAAATTATTATATTTAAGCTCTTATCACACTATTATGATTATAAAATCATTAAGGTGTTTTATACTTATATTTAAATTACCATGGATATAAACAACATACAGTATTTAATAAATTGCTATAAATATTAATAGTCCTATGGTATAATAATTTCTTCATTTAATACTATTTGTTTTTAATTGTTAATTATTAACTTTTACTTTTTAATATTACTATAGTAGCATAACTATAAATATATTAGCCAATTATAAAATAAATTTAATTATAGATGTACCATTTAATCTACATTCAATCTAAAACTTTATGCAATGAATAATGTAAACAAAATATGTTAATAATAATACATTTATCTAATAAATAAATGATAATAATAAATAAATTTTATATACAATATACCCTAAAATCTTGTGCATTACCCGCACTCATGTATAACCCGCACTTAAATTAAATTCACTTAAATTAAAGAAATAACTAGTCAAACCTACTCTGACCTAGCCTAAACTAACTCATTAACTTAATAAATAATATTATTA